AGGCATCTCCCTTATGCACCAGGGGTATATTCTCCAAGACCCCCAGTGGTCACCTGAGACCCTGAGATTAAAATACTGAACCCATAACATTCACACCATGATTCTTCCCATAGACCTGTGATGGCAAATCCTGTAAAGGCCAAGAGCCCAGTCTACAAGCCCAAACCCAGTTATTTATGGTATAAATTTGAATACCGAGGTTTTTGTTTACCAAAAAGCTTACATTAACATCTTTTTCCTTAAAAAGAAAAACAGCAACAGAGTTTAAATGATACAGCTTTTTATTGAAATGTAAGCTTGCATTTGGTGTGCTTTTGTACAATTAATGTGATCTTTGCTGTTGCATGTATGTTGATAATCTGTCAAACCCTGGCTCAAACTTAATCTGTAAGTCTGTTTCTTTATCAGATTTGATACAATTGAAAGCTGAAAACAGCTGTTCACAAGCATAAAATGATCCAAACAAGTAAGCAAAGTAATCCCCAGTGCTTTCATTCATTGACTTAAAATTATTTGGCAGAGAATTCCACACTTTAAGGATTTCATTTTCAGAACTACTAGCTATACTGTCCTTTGTCACCCTTTTCCACCCTATCTTCACAAGTGCTGCACATAGTCACAGAATTTTGTTTTTCCAGATAGAACTCTCTTGAAATTCCAACAGCTCCATTACCAGATTTCCAAAATTAACCAGTGTAAGCCAAAAAGATCTAGTTCTTCAAAGGTGGCTTTATCTAGAGCAGTTAAGAAAATACAGGTTTGTCTCGATCTTATGAAACTATTAAAAAACTAAAATTCTGTTTTGCAGCTGATACAATGGTAGAAAACTCCTTCTAGATTTGTTGGTGGCTTGTAGGGTTGACTGCAAATGGTGAATTTTCTAAATGCATTTTTAGATTTAGAAAATATTTCAGCTGTCCAGTTTCAAGGTTTTTCACAAATCTGCAGTTTTTTTTCCTCAAATGTTTTGATATCACAAAACATCCTTTTGCTGTTTTCCCTGTACTTTGTATTTTTTTTTCCATTACATTAAAGTGTAATATAAAATCTGTTAAAAAAAAAAAAAAGAAGAATAAATAAATAAAAAGAAATTGTTAAGCCAGGCCATTACTGTACTAAATAAAGGATTATAGTGTGCCTGAACCTCATCAAGAAGTGCTTAGAACTGTCAAAAATTACAAGCACAAACCATAATGTAATTCACCACTCTGGGACATCTTTGAGGATATTGCATAGTTTTTGTTGCTTTCTCTAGAACAAAGTGGTTCTTGATGTATAATATAATGAAACTGAATGACTGCATGTTCTACTTCTTTAACAAAGTGTATGAAACCAGATGTCCACCCCACACCCATGCAAAGTGCTCTGTCACTAATAACTGAAACTGCTCTTTTGGATTTACCTCTTGTGACAAAAAAGCTTCCACACAGTTCTGTAGATATCTTCTAGGCAGACAGGAGTTTCACCAGCTCTTCTGACATCACAATAGCATAATACCAAATTACTGTTACCTTTGCGTTATTATTCATATCTGTGCTTTCATCCAACCACATGGAGTAAACAGCCTACCTTTTGTAAGTCAGTAGTGAGCTGCTGACTAACATCACTTGCAACACACAGAACTTATTTTTACAGTACTTCTGCTAAGTGGTACATCAGAGATGCACTGCATAGTTTCAACCTTGTTTGGACAATCATGAAAAAGGGAATTACTCTCAGACAGCACGGCCATTTGATAAATATCTCCATCAGAGAGGGGCTTACATGTTTTTCTATGCAGTAAAATTTGAAAGCTCTCAAGGGGGGGGCGCGGATTTAGCTCAGTGGCACAGTGTTCTACTTGGCAAGTGTGAGGTCCTGAGTTCAATTCCCAGTACAAAAAGAAAAAAAATAGAAAGCTGTTATCTTTGAGAGGATTTGTTTTAGAAAGATAGTTGCAAAAATTAAGACACTAGGAAAATTTCCATTCAAGAAATGCTTTTCTTTCAGTTTCACCAGATTTGACAACACATTTATGGTTGCTCTCAAACTGCCTGCCATCTGACACTTGATGTGTGACAGATAGCACTTTTACTACACAGAATATACAACACTTTCCCATTATGTTCAACTCCAAATGACTGTCTAGACCTTTTGGAAAATCTTCCACAATCTCCTTTCAGTCTTGCTGTAGTCATTCTTTTGGTATTCAAAAATCGGCATCTACAAAAAACACAAAATTAAAAAAATTTATCACCCCACACATATCTATCCCTGTATCAAAAATAGCTAACACTAAAGATAGCTAACATGGAACAGCTAACACTGTCAGTTAACACTAAAGAACTAGATATTCCTTGAATCAACAATTTGCAGCAAGGATTTTCAGCTGTTTGCTGACCAGCAGAGCAAAGGGGCAGTGTTCCAATGACCACCAGCTTTTGGCCTGCTCTGAAAAAGGCATCTGAGTACATTTCCTACTTCGCGGGCTTCTGCTAAAATCACAGCCAGTTCAAACAAATATGTTACTTGTTGCTTTTGTTTTCATAAAGTATCCACAAACTGCAGATTCAAGTAAGCCAAGGGGATAGCACATCATTAAAAGGATCTATCTCTTAATTAGAACATCTCTTTGTTTAATCTTAGATATTAAATTTCAATTTTTCATAAGAAAACAAAGTAAAAATCTTGTTAATGAAAATGAACGCATTCATAGCCAGTCTAAGCAAATCAATCTCTATATTTCTCCCTCTTGGGAGCACACTGTCTAGCTTGTAGCTAATGAACTGCAGTCTGGTGCTGCTACTCCTTTCTGAGCATGTGCATGGCACCTATGTGCTCTATGATGCTCTTCTGCTGGGGCAACTTGGCTTGTTTGCCAACCGAGAGGGCACTGCAGGCCTCCTATACGTTCATCACCATTGGCCTAGATTCTTTCATGGTGTAATTTCCAGTTTTATCCTATTTCAATGAAATCCATTTTTAATATGTATGTTGCCACTTACTTTTGATCTTGGTGTTGACAGTTTTGAGTCTTTCCATTCTGTTTTGATTTCTGTGCATTTTTGGCTGGAGTATCTCATATCAAACTACAATTAGAAATCAGTCTTAATTAGTGTCCCCATTACATGAAGGGGTTCAAATGTTTCCCCAAATCATGATTTAAAAACTAAGTTAATTCCAAACTAAAAGTTCTCTGTAAAGTCCTATCTCAGAACCAATTCTTAGTATGAGATTCTCATGCAAGTTTCCATTAGCTATAAAATAGGTGAAAAGCACTAGAAAAAACTTTGACCCTCTGATACTATTTATGGTAATCTTATAAGATTTTACTCATTTTCTTCCCTGGAGCTTTCTGTTCAGTTTCCTCATGATCATAATCAAAATCATCAGCACCATCATCACTGAAAATGAAATAAGCCAAGATATTAAGAACTTTCCAAATTTCGAGAGACTTGACAAAAGAACTAAAAGCAGAATATAACAGATTTGTTGCAACACTGCTCACAAAAGCCAACTGAAAGCACCCCTCAAAAGGTGAGTGGATAAAGAAAACATATTCAACACATACAGTGGAATGTATTCAGCCTTAAAATAAATCCTGCTATCTGTTGCAACATGAACGAACTTCCATTATATTATGTGAAACACACCAGTCAACTAAAGGGTGAACAGCATGATCCTACTTGTAAGGTATCTAAAGTAACAACTCAAAAAGTATACTTGCCATTGCCAAGGCCTGGAAAACTTTAAAGAGTCTGTCAAAAGGTAGTCATTTTGCAAATCAGTGGACTTGACCATGGTGTCTTAGTTGGACACCAGATGTACTAACACAAAAGAAGTAGATTTCATGAAAATTAACTTGTGCAATGACCACCACCAAGAGAGTATAGAGAAACCACAGAATGAGACAAAATATCCCTTAATCAAATATTTAATAAGATACCCATTACAGTAGGTAATTCTTATAACTTACAAGCACCATTACTCAAAGTTTAAATGGGCCAAGGATCTCATAGGATTTTCTTTGAAGATACACAAATGTCTAGCTGACCATCAGGGCTAAGCACACATGAGGGTCCTGAGTTCAATCCCTACTACAGCACACACCAAAAAGTTATGAGTCATCAAGGAAATAGAAAGTGCACCCACAAGGAGATAGTGGATAGGAATGTTATTACACAAAAACAGTGACAAGCATTCAGACAGTACGGACAAATCCAAATCCCTATTCACTGCTGGTGCAAGTATACCGAAATGGTTCAGCCACTTTTGGAGAACAAGCTTGGCAAGTTGCTAATAAGTCAAACCTGGAGTTATCATAGCAATTCTGACTCAGTTAGGTACTCACAAAATAAACATGTCTACAAATCCTCAGGCTGGTAGCAGCAAAGATCACATTATGATTCCCTTTATGGCAAGTCTCTAAAATAGGCAAATCTATAGACAAAGTTCATAAATGGCTGACTAATATGATTTCTAAGGTAAAGAAACGTTCAAAATTTGTGTTAATAGCTGTACAACTGTGAATATACCAAAGTCAATGAATTATACAGTTTAAACAGGATTAAAAAGTTGGGGACTTACTTTATTAGAAACAAGATGACAATGGCTTTAACAAAACCACTATGGGCTAACAGCTTTATCTATTAGGATATTCTTTACCAAATTTTAAAAAGTGACATTTAAGAAGGCCACATACATTAATACAATCATACATTGTCTACCTTTGTTTACATTCTGAACAATGTGTTCACACACAAACTAAGATATTCCTAAGGTGTTTATTATTTTCAAAACTTGATTAGGACCTTAGTAAGATCTTTTTTTTGCCAAGGCTGGTCTCGAACTCACAACAATCCTCCTGCCTTAGCCTCCTGAGTGATGGGACTACAGGTATGTGCTGCTACATTCGGCTATATGTTTTCTTTATTATTACACCCAACTCAAAGACAACTGAGATGAGACTAATACCAAAAACGTAAATTCTTAGGGACAAAGCTAAAAATTAAAGGTATTAGATAATGTTGTAAGACCAACTAAGAATAGGACTTTATTATACTGTGTAACTTTATTACCACAGCTTTCTCTAGTGCAATAAACACACTGACTCTTGTTTTCAACCAGGTTTTAAACTGGCAAGAAAAGTTCAATATCCTTTAGAATCTCATTTTGTCAACAAGGAGTCATCAAAGAACCACAGGCTAAAACCTTTAGCTATCTTATAAAATGAATGTAATTCAAACTAGCCAATAAATTGTCATCAAGACGTAGGTACTCAAGTCAAATAAATTTCATTTTTAAAAAAAAATTTTTTTCAAATAAATTTCAGAAAGGCTGCCTGCATACTCTACCCGTCTAAAGATTCACAATGCACAGCAGGATTTTCACAACTCATACTCCCAGCAAACTTTTAACTCCACTCATTTAACCCAAACTCAACTACCAGACTCACCATTTAAAGGACCCAGGAAATGACGTTCCTAAAATTCTTACCCATGCATATAAGCATGTCAAGTTTCTTAGAGTACAGTACTTAACTCTTCATCACTGGTACCTTCATTTTGTTTTTTTTTTTTGGTCTTTTTGAGACAAGGTCTCGCTATGCAGTTCAGGCTGGCCTTGAGCTCTCTTTGTAGCCCAGGCTGGCCTCAAACTTGCAATGATGCTCCTGCCTCAGCCTCCCAAGTGCTGGGATTATAGGCGTGTGCCACCACGCCCGGCTACCATCATTTTCTGCGTCACCAGCTAGCTCTACTTTTTTTCTTAAAGAAACTACATAATTATGAGTAAGATCCAATCTTAATAACCAAACTGAAAGCTGGAATACATAATTTGTAGTAAAATTAGCTCTACTTGTACAACCTTTCTACCACCTCTAGGGTCAGATAGCTTTCCAGACATACTTGAAGAGTTTTATGTTCTCTTCCTCATCTGACTCTGCATCTTCCTCCACAGCTAAAATAAATTAAATCACTATGCAACTCCAACACACGATGAACACTGGTAACACTCACTGGTCACTGGTATGTGGACAAATCTCCCACACTCTTTTTTGCATTTGAGTCTTTGGATGAATATTATAAAATACTCCTATAAACTATGTGTCCTGTATTAAATCTTTTCCTTTGTAAACCCTGACTACAACATCCTCCATCTACTATTGATGATCCTTTAGCGCCACCATCTCCTACCTATGCTCCCTCCTCCCGTTAGTATCTCTTGTCAGTTTACTCCATGTAATCTCTTATATACCAGCTGTTGCACTGTATAGTACCACCATTTTAAGGTAACTGTAAAAGTAAAAATAATTTGTTTACAATATTTTTGCATGTATGTTTGGTTTTCTTAGGCTTTACAATGCAGGTGAGTATCAAAAATGACAGATTTTGTCAGACTTAGGAAAGACTCCGACTTAGGAAAGAATCCAACTTATGAAAGTTCTTGTGGAACAGAACTCATTTGTAGGTTAGGGAATTACTGTACTATATTCCCAACTGAATCTATTATAAAAAGAGCAATTCTAGAACCAAGTATGCCTTTCAAGTACAAACTGGGAACCAAACATTTCAGTAAACAGAAAAAGTAGTTTAATATACAGCATATAAAAATAACATACCTACTAAGTGCTTTCCACTAATATGCACAAGTCCCGAACAACACCTCAAGCTTAAGACCACAGGTGGTGTAATTTCAGAGCTCCCAAGGAGCTTCCCTGAAAGGAAGAAATTTTTAATTAAGCACTGTAAAGAAAATGTATAGCACGTATTACAGGCAAACCCCACTCAACGAAATCAAACCGGTAAACATATTTTCGCCCATAAAAGAGTTGATGATTCAACTCCACAGTGACACAAGATGCAGCTCTGACTACTGGGACAAAGAAGCAAATAAAATACTGCTTTTATTTCCTTGATACCCTAAATGATACCCATCTTAAAAAATATCTAAATGCTCACATAAAATCCAAAGTTCATGTGCCCTTACCGTTGGCTGTCCAGACATTTTAAAAGCTGCCAGTGTTACTTTAATTGGACTGTCTTCATCATTCATAGCCTCTGCTTCAACAACGTGCAATTCATCCTTTGCACCAGCCCATAAGCTGACCTGTGAACAACAAAAAAGCGAACTTCTATCATAGGTGTAGAGATGAGGTATATTTAATACCTAGTTACAAAAAAGACTAACTCATAAGCAGACGAAGCAAAAATGTTATGCCACATGAGTAGGAAATAAAAGACTGAGAAAAGTCGTTTATTTTGAAAAACTGAAAAATAACACCAAGGCTTACAAAGTAAACAGAAAGGTAAAGGTCACGCTGTGAACTAGTTTTTCACTACTCTAGCTACCAGAGGGCAATACAGAATCATCTTTCTGAATTTTTAAACATGAATACACCAGATTAACACCCTAAAAAAAATTTTATAGAGTGCAGATATCTACTCTCACTGCATGAATGAAAAAAACTGTTCTAAATATTATCAGAACAAAAATTTAACTTTACATGGTTCCATTTAATAAGCATCTGACAGTTACTGCTACATATATACCATATTCAAATGCTATTGCTCAATTAACAAATATCAGCATGGCTAATCAACAAGCTCAAAAACTGCAGGATTTGTGCGTTCAAGTCAAGCACAAAGTCTTCCACAATTAAATTTACTGCGGCTGAAAACCAAAGGACTCTCCTAAGAACCTTATACAGTGTAGTTTGTGGGGTACAGGAGTAATGGGGGAAGGGGAGGTGGTCCCCTGAAAACCGAGGCTCTTCAAAGTTTACAGTTTCAGATCTTCAACTCAATCTGCAACATTCTCCTTCTTAAACGCTGTACTCCATGCATCACTCAAGGTAGCCTCCATTTTCCCTTCCCTCAAATTACAAAACTTCACTCATTATAGAGGTCCAGTAGGATTCCAGAGTCTTGTTTCTAATTTTGAACTTTGTGCAACATTTGATCACTTCACGAGTACTGTCATCTGCAATGTACGCAATTTCCATCTACAGAAGTGAGATGGAAACAGTGCTCTGAAGATGCTAAATACCATCATAGCAGATGCTGTTAAGCACTAAATCCAGACATCCAAAATCCTGGCATTACCATCCAACTCACCCAAGACCGCTCGCCCAACAGTTCTCAACTACACCACAGGACCCCAGGCCCGGAGGTGACAAGTCACCAGCGAGCCCCGGATGTGGACCGAGCCCACACCCCCGCCCTCCCCCAACCACGTGGCAACCACGTGCTCCCAGCAGCAGCGGCCTCCTCACGCCCAGCCGCGCCTCCCCTCCCCCTGGAACCAGCCGCAGCACCCACAGATTAACTCTGGCCCCAAGTTCTACTCAGCCAAGTCCAGAGAGCAACGCCGGGCTCCCCCCACCCCTCCCTACAGCAGCCTCATCAAACTGCCTGGACCACCACCGGGGACCCGGCAGTAAAGACACCGATCTGTCGCAAACCCTACAGTCTCGCACACGTCAAGAAATCCCCATGCCCCGGGGCTTTTTCTATCTCCTACCCCACAAAAAGGCGACCCTTCAGCCAGCCGGTTGTCCCCGCCGCAGGTCCTAGGCCTGGGCCCGCTCACGCCCCGGCTTCAGCCACCGCCTCTCGCCTCCCACCGCGCGTCCGCTCAGCCTCCGGAGCTCCGGCCGCTCCCCGCTCCTCACCCAGCCCGCTCCGCCTTCCCCCCGGCCCGGGCCGCGGTTGGCTTCCCGCCCCCTCCCCCCAGCCACAGGCCCTGCTCGGCCTCGCTCCAACGTTCTCCAGGGCAGTTACCGAAGAGATAGTTCTGGGGCCTCAGGGGGCTCATGTCCATATCCATCGAATCTTCCTAAGTGCGTGGCACGCACTTAGGTGGCAGAGAACACGGACGAAAAAAAAAACAAGGCTCCAAAGGAGAGAGAATAGGACGTTAGCTAGCCAGGGAAAGGCGGGGACACATCACGCAAATAGCGTCTCGTAAGATCTTGCGAGAGTTTCTCCAGGGCCGCCTCAGCGCGCGAACTCCGAAGCTCCTCCTCCCGCATTTCTCCTCCGGGTTCAGCGCTCTTCGACCCCCTCCTCACCCTTCCGCCTCTTTCAGGTACTTCGCGGGCTCCCTTTGAGCAAGCGCGTTGGTACTCTGGCCCCACCCTCCGCTACCGTCGCCTTTGCGCATGCCTGCTTCTCCCTAGTAAGCGCCAACCCTTCACGTCCTTTCCCACTCTGACGCGCTGGCTGCGTCCTGAGATCCTGCGCAGCCCATCCTGCAAAGTGGCGACTGCAGTCTGTACGTCTGTTACTGTTCGGAGCGTTCGCGGGTGGAAAGTGAGCCAGAGAGCAGTTCAGTTCACCTTTCTCCATCCTCTGGTGCCCCGCAGGCCTACAGGCAGGCATAGTCCCCTTAAGGTTTTTGTCTTGCCCGAAGGCCTAGTGTCCCCGAAGTTAAAACTTGTGGTGCTCGAGGCGGTGGGCTGCGGGTGCTTCTTTGTTGAGTAGTGAAGGTGGAGCTACTGGCCAGACGTACTCAACTATGTTTTTATAGCTCCAGCCTTTCTGAGGACACATGTCTGAAACCAGCGTTCTCCCTTTCACGTCGTTTGGGGACCAAAAAGCGACTGAGCCAATCTCCAAAGAGCAGGGTAACACCCTAAATTTTGTTCAGGATGCAGCCCCTGAGAAAGTGCAGTTATTTATCATTCCTAGTGAAAGAACCTGTATGCTTTGTGAGAAATAGAGGCCTTAAACCAAGTACTTACTTTGTTTTAAAAGTTAAAGTGACCGTGAAAGGTAAACATATTGAATTGATTCAGGACAGGTAGACAGTCATGGCAGTGCAATTAGAGACGCTAGAAAGAACCTCAAGAACTGCTTCAGAACACGGCAAGAACTCCTAGAATGTATTGGAAGGAAAGGGGAGCCTTTTCAGGGGGGATTAACGGCAATCTGTCTTTTACTGTAATTTTTAAAATTTTAAGCATTTGCTGTATTTTTCCATCACACTGCATGTGTATTACTTTACATCTTCACGTAATCTGGCTTATCTTTCCAAGACATAATACACAGGCCCACTGTGTTCTTTTTAGGAGTTGTATGGTGTTCCATTAGGTGAACATGTGTACTATTTCTTTACTTCCAAAGTTTTAAAAATAGAAATGGACACATTTTATAAGGAAATGTTTAATGTTTAAATGAACAAGCCGGGTGTGGTGGCGCAGGCCTGTAATCCCAGCACTTGAGAGGCTGGGGCAGGAGGTTGGTTGTGAGTTGGAGGCCAGTACAAAGTGAGTTCAAGGCCAGCCTGACCTGCATAGCAAGACCCTGGTCAAATAGACCAAAAAAAAAAAAAAAAAAGTTTAAATGAACAAAAAAAGTATTCCATATTAAATACTGATCTTCAGTTACCATGCTGTAGATGTCAGCAATTTTGTCTCATATATACCCTGCCATCCACAGGTTCTGGTATCTTGGGGTGGGGATGGTTCAGAAATTAACCTCTTGTGGATAGTAAGAAACAATTGTGCAACTGTATTTCATCAGCACAAAGAAATATAGGAGGACATGCCAATGCTAGTGGTTAATAGCCATTCTGCTGTATACATATGTCTAAAGATTATAGCATACATCATAAATATACACATTTTTATTTGTCAAAAATAAAGCAGATAAGTATTTTCCCTTGAAAGCTGGTCTGCACATTTTTAACTTCATGTGTAGACGCACGTTTGATTTCTCTTGGATAAACAGGAGTAAAAGTCTAGATCATCTGGGACATCTATGTCTAACTTTGAGAAACTGCCAAACTATTTTCCAGAGTTATGCCCCTTAACATTGCCACCAGCAGTGTATGAGAACTGTAGTTCCTACACATCCTCACCAATTTTGATTTAAGTTTAGACATTCTCAGAAGTGTGTCAAGGTGTCTTCTGGTGGTTTTAATTCACATGTCCTTAATGACTAATGATATTGAACATCTTTTTTTTGTGCTTATTTGCTGTGAATATATCTTCTTTGATGGAGTATCTCTTTAAATCTTTTGTTCCCTGCCCTCTTTTTGCCTATTTTTAAAAAAATGGTAAGCACTTGCTGTAGCACTGAGCTACGACCCCTGCACCTGCTTCCTTCCCAGGTTATTTCTGATTATTATCTTTAGGGAGGTCTTTTTATATTCTAGATTCACATCCTTTATCATATCTGTGATTTGTAAGTATTTTGTCGTGGTATATATGACTTGTCTTTTCATTCCCTTAGCAGAACCCTTTATTTTTTTTTTTATTTTTGTCTTTTTGAGACAAGGTCTCGCTATGCAATACAGGCTGGCCTTAAACTCTCTTTGTAGCCTAGGCTGGTCTCAAACTCACAACGATCCTCTTGCCTTAGCCTCCCAAGTGCTGGGATTATAGGTGTGCACCACCACGCCTGGTGCCCTTTATTTTTTTTAATTAAAATATTTTAGCTAATTTTATTAGTACCCTTTTGGTATACACAGTGATCACATTCATCATACAGAATTTGGACCTGTACATTCTGTTTTTGTTTTTGTTTTTGAGACAGGGTTATATAGTTCAGGCTGGCCTTGAACTCACTATATAGCTCAGGCTGGAATCAACTTCCCAGCAATCCTCCTGCCTCAGCACCTGCATGCTAGGAGTGCAAGTGTGAGCCACCATGTCATCAATGTCATATATCTCTTTTTTTTTCAGTGTAAAAATTTTATTTCTTATTATCCAAGTACCTTTGAAAAGATAATTGTACAAGTCATGGCATGAAAAATGGGCTTTGAGCAGTCCCCTGCTGGCCCTGTCCTAAGAAACGTACATATTTACATGGGCCCTTAGAAAGCAGGGACCCAGCCTCTTGAGCTGGCGGCTGGAGACAGGTGAAGGAAGGGCTGAGGCTTCATGGCCACTGGCTTCACACAGTGGCAGGCAAGAGACTGTGTTGAAGGCACTCGGTGACATGTACACTCTACAGAGGTCCCTGCAGGGCCCCCTGCACCAGGCCTGGGCCCAACTGGATACAGTGGGTAAGTCCCACAGCATGCAAGGCCTGCAGTAGGGGCTCAAGGCCGGGTGCCCTGCTCCAGGGGTTCCAAGTATTGCTATGGGGTGGGTGGGGCTTCCATAAGACGGATGCCTGTGGGACCAGGGAAGGGACCCACCCACCCAGAATGTCATATATCTTGATTCTTCTTTTTTTCCCTCATTTGCCTCCCATTCCTTCAACCCTTCTTCCCCTCCTTATTTATAAAAGCTTTATTTCTATTTTTTTGCTTCTATTCTCTTTTTATTCCTTTTCCTTTCTTTCCTTCGCCTTCCCCCTCCCTTGTTCCCCTTCCCATTTGAACATTTTTTTTCCTACTTCCCAATATCTGCCATCCATTTTGGTTCTTCTTTGTACTTTCTCACACAAGAGAAACAGTGTGATATTTGTTCGATTTATTTTTAACTTAAAAATATGGCCTCAGCATATATCCGTTTACCTAAAAATGTCTTAAATTTATCCTTTATGGTAGAGTAGTACTCCATGGTATATAAGTACCACATTTTCTTTATCAATTTGTGTATTGATGGGCACCTGGGCTGTTTCAAAGATTTTTGTTTTGTTTTGTGTTTTGAGACAGGGTCTCACTGTGAAGCCCAGGCTATACTTGAACTTACTTTTTAGCCCAAGCTGGCTTCAAGCTCATGGCAGTCCTCCTGCCTCACCTTTTAGAGTGCTGGAATTACAAACTTATGCCACCACACCTGGCATGTTTACAAGATTCAGCTATTACAAGTTGTGCTGCTATAAAAGTGGGTGTACATATATTGCTGTGGTATGATGCTTTTAACTCTTTTGGGAAGATATCAAGATGAAGAATAGGTAGTTCAAATGGAACCTCTAGTTTGAGCTTTTTGAGGAATGTCTATATTGATTTCCATATTGGTTGCACTAATTTACACTCTTATCAATAGTGGAGAATTATTTTTTCTTACAGCCTCACAAGCATTTGCTATTGCTTGATTTCTTAATGATATCATTTTTCTGGAATCCCAATACACCACTGTCACAAATAGGTCAACTAGACAAAAAAAAACAATAAAGAAATTCCAGAGCTGAAACCAACCCATGAACAAATGGACTTAGTAGATATCTACAGAGTGTTCCACAATTCTTATCAGTTGCACATGGGACATTCTCCAAAATAAACCACATACTAGCTCATAGAACATGCTCAAGTAAATGCAAAGCAATTGAAATTACTCCATGCATATTATCAGACCATAGTGCAATAAAATTGGAAATCAGTGGCAAAAAACCCTGCAAAGACTGTATAAACACATGGAAATTATGTAATACCCTCTTGAACAACCAATGGGTCAAAGATGAAATTAAAGAAGAAATTAGACAGTTTCTACAATTAAATGATAATGCCAAACATTATACTGGAACATATGGGACAAATGAAAGCAGTCCTACAAGGGAAATTTATAGTATTGAATTCTCACATCAGAGAAATATAATGAGCTCAAATAAATAACTGAATGTTAAGCCTCAACCTTCTTGAAAAAGAGCAAGTGAAACCAAAAGCACATATAAGGGAAGAAATTATAAAGATTAGAGTATAAATGAATGCAATTGGGACTAAGAAAACTGCAAAGAATTAATGCATCCAAGAGTTAGTTTTTTGAAAGAGTAAATAAAATTGACAAACCCTTAGCCACCCTATCACAAAAAGGAAGTAAAAGACTCAAATCTGTGGAGTCAGAATCAAAAGGGTGAAGTCACAATGGATCCTGCATAAGAAACCCAGAAGCACATTAATACCTACTTAAGAACCTGTATTCTAATAAGGTGGAAAACATGAAAGCAATGAACAGATCTCTAGATTCATATGAATTACCAAAACTGAGTCAAGAAGCTATAAAAATTGTAAATAACCCAATATAAGTCAAT